CCAAGGGAGGTGAGCCGGGGGCAGTCGGGCTCCTTAGCCCTCCGCAGTCCTGTGCTTATCGCACCGCCATGGGTGGGGTTCCTTTACTCCCCCCTTCTGGCAGCGGTGCTCAGTTTCTTTGACACGCTAGCACGGGCTCCAGGCGGCCTCCGCGGCAGTTTTCTGTCCTTTGGATCAGTCAGGGTCGCTGTACGGTCCTAGCCACCCTGACCTCCTCCGTGTGTGTTGCAGTGGGACCTGCTGCTCTTCTTGCTCCGGGAGCTGGTAGAGAAAGGGCTCATGGGACGGACAGAGATAGAGGCCTGCCTGGGCAGCCTCCGTGACGCCCAGTGGCCAAAGGTAAGGAGTCCTCACATCCTCATACCTAGATGGAGAACAGGTGTCCTATGCCCTTTTATCCTGAAATGAGGCAAGTGATGGGGCCCAGATATTCTTAGGATCTTCCCAAATCTCAGTAGATTTTGTCAGGTATCTTCAGGACCACCCTGAAACGGCGTGGCTGTCCTGCAGGGCCTTTTTCACATTTGAGTGGGTGTTGTATGAAAGACTGTGTCCGTGGAAGGAGGGAAGAGGGAAGGCAGGTAGTTAGTTGGTAAGCAGCATGGCACAGTGAGTAGGAGTTTTTAAAATCAGAATAACCTAGATTTTAATCTCAGCTGGTACTTAAAGTTATTGTGATCTAGGGCAGAATGATTTATACCTCCTACGGTTTGTCAAGATGAAACACGTTGGTGGTGAAGTACTCACTCCATGGTTGAGTCCGCTGTCAGATTTCGCTGTCCCTGCTGGAACTTGAGCATCCCAGAGTACTCATGGGAAAAGGGTCACATCCATTTCAGTGTAGAAGGCAGGTGGGAAAAAATAAGGTTGTCTACTCACTGGTTAGCTAGGGCTTGATACTGGGGATTGACTTTTAATAGAAAGGATGTACCGTCCAGAATTATGTATCAGTCAATGTTGTCTGTCATCTTTCTGCTTATTCCAGGACTTCTCCGAAGAATTAGCAACACTGTTCCACCTGTTTCTAGCTGAGCCTCACATGCCAGAACCCCAGCTAAGAGCTTGTGAGCTGGTGCAAACAAACCGGGGAACTGTGCTGGCCCAGAGCTAGGGCTGGGGAGCAGTCGTATCTTGGGTGTCTGACCAGAACCCCGGCCTCAGGAGGAGGCCCCCGCGCCCCCCCCCTCCGAGTGCTCACTGCTGACCCTTGCTGAGGAAGGAGTAGCTAAGTCTGTAGTCAGGCCTCCTGCTCATGTGTGAAGGAAGTGTGGGGCTGCCTGGCATCCCACCACCCAAGTCCTAGAGGAAGGAGAGTTCGCCTGATTCAGGATTATGATGGCAAAGCCTAGAGACTCCAGTCCTGGAGCAGAAGAGTTGGCATTTATTACTTGGATTATTAAATGACACGTGTGGGCTTGACAACACAAGACTTGAGCCCCATTTGCTGCTACCCCAGTGTTCCTTAAAACTTTGTGGTTTGGAAATCATGACAGAGGCACATGACTTCTGCTTAACTTGTGGGTAAAGTTAAAACATGAATCTTGGGAGTCGACATTTTCTTACCACCAGGAGCTGGACCGCCTGCCATCTCCTTAAAAATGCACAATACGGGAGGGGGCGCTGCCCCACCGGAAACCCAGCTTTGACCCTGCACCTTCTCTGCCTTCAGCCCCGGGCAGGTACTAACTCTCAGCCGTAGCTCCGTCCGGGGGCCGAGCACAGGGCAGAACATTAGAGCTTTTTAAAATAAACTGTTTTCTTTATCAAGGGCTTCCTGTCATCTAGTTATTTTCACCTGGCCCTTTCCTTTAGCAGGCTGCACAGTCCCAGGTGGGCTTGAAGGTGGGCACTGACAGGGTAGAGCTCTACTAATGGCCTGGCCACTTGGCAATGCCTAAATGTCCCATCGTGTCAGGGCCTGGGTCCCTGTTAACCCCTTGCCAATAGTAGTGACTTCTGTACAACTCCCTCTAAGGTTAATATGCAAAGTCTCCACTCACTAGCTACTCTCTAACAAACTAGATGGCAGGGCAGCTCCTGTTAGGCTTGTTTCGTTAGGGCTGGGGGTATGTGGTTTGGCTCAGAAGTATTCTGTGTGTCTCTGATCCATTGATTTTTGACTAAAAAGCACCACCTTGATAATGTGCATGAAGTTTGCGCCTGTAAAATTCATGGTCTTTCTGCATCAGCAGCGCAGAGAGGTTCAGGCTGTGTTGGAAGAAGGAGTTGGTACTCCGGGAACCCTCTGGAAATGTCTTGCAAAACTCCTGTCTGTCCCTCCATGTGTATTTCCTGGGGGAAAAGTGCACAGCTGTCAAAAGAGGCCGACCCAAGGAAGCGTCAGGTTCTCTGGGCCAAGGGGGCCTGCTGCGGCACCTTAGGAAAGCTGGGGCGGGGGGGCAGTCCTTCCTGGTGGCCAGCAGCACGGAAGGACCCCTCCGTCACCACCTGGTCCCGGCGCCTTCCCCCCCCACCTCTCCGCCCAGTTGCTCCTTTCACAGGTTTTGGCAACTGAACCTTCCTTCCACAATCTCTTCGTTTTCGAAGGACTTTATCTTTGTCCTTTAAATCCATTTGATACTGTAGCAAATTCAGAAGTGCTGAATGCCTGGGAACCAAAATAGTTTTAAGAAGGGTTTTATCTTTGTGTGCCCACTAGATGTGGCTGAATGCAAGCACTGCCCTCGGAAGCTGAGCCCCGAGGTAAGAAGCAGCCACTGCAGCTGTGGCAGCTCCCCATGGATGGGACAGGTGGGCAGGGCTGGAGGCAAGCCAGAAGCCGCATGCATGCTGGGTTCAGGCCCACTCAGTTCAGTGTAGCACAGGCCCAATTTGGGAAACTCACCAGGGGCCTGTGTGAATCTTAAAGGACCACTCTAGGCAGTAAGATAAACTTAGGAATCACAGCTAATGAACTAGTGAACGAAACAGGTCCCTTTCTATGTATCTGCTCTCTACAAATTGTCTAAAACAGTGGTTTTCAAAGTGTGGTCCCCAGACCAGCAGCCTCAGGATCACCTAGGACTTCCTAGAAATACACATACGTTGGCCCCTCTCCAGGCCCAGTCAGTCAGAAACTCTGGGGTATAACAAGTTCTCCAGGTGATTCTGATGAAGTCTGAACGCCACCCATCGAAATCAAAATTTGACTTCCTCATGATCATTTAGAGCTGGGTCCCTGGACTATCGTGAATACAACATCAACCTCAGCTGATATTCCTTAGATTGCCGACTCAGGCCAGGTGTGTGGCTCTCAGTAAGGGGATAGGGTCGCCTCTGGGCGACCCATATGTTCAGATTCCCAGTGGCGGCTCTGCCCAGAAGCCCAGAGGTGCTCACCTGTTAAAAGAGCTTCCTTCCAGGGGGTTGTGGTCGCCAGTGTGGGGCAGTGCCTGTCTGGTATCCCCTCTCACGTGCTTATCTGGGCTCCAGCTGGCTCCAGTTGGCCAACTGCTCGGGTTGCTTTTCACAAGCAAAGTCCTGCTGAGCTCATGGGAAGAACTGAGTATATTAGTGTGAACCGTATCGCTTGGAACTGGGCCATGAGCAGTTGTTGCCATCATCATCTCGTTGCCCTCATCATCTCGAGGCTAAATTCTGAGCTCAAATGATAACAGTAGTCTCCACTAAATGAAAGGACACCACGGACTTCTAATTTGCAAGTGTTCTGACTTTTTCAATCAATAGTCTTAAGAAATTTATATGAAAAGAGATGGGAGTACATAAATAGGGTGTTAAATATACCAAAAAAATTAACCAGAAAAATACATTTAAAGGCAATTTAAAAAGCCTTCAATCAATCTTACATAAGTAACAATTTGAGGTAAAAGAAAAAAAATCCTGCAAACACTTCTAAAGAAATCTGCGCTGTACCATACAGAAACTAACCTTTTCACCACATCTTTTCAAACCCCATATGGTCTCCCTCTTCCACCAAAGATTGTAGGCACCAGAATGGAAGCTGGGACTCTCTCCCACCCCAACCACTTCCACATAACCATACAGAATACTCAAAGCTCAAGTTCAGCCAGGCTGAGGTACAAGAAAACCGAGCCCATTCCCCACCCCTCCTAGAATAGCACATCCTGCCCCAGCAGCATGGATGCTCAAGAGACCACTGAAGGCTGGCGCCAAGGCTCTGAGGGAGGTGAGGAACGGAACTGAATTTCCTCCTAACAAATCACATACTTCCTCTAGGAGTTCTAGTATCTTCTCTCCAGTCTTCGAAAAGCAACTTTTCAGCCACCCCCACCCCTCCTCAAAGAGCTAGATTCCCATCTTTGACCCCAAATCTGTCCAAACTGCTTCTACAGTGGTCTTCCCATTCTGAGCTCTGGAGTGATGGCTCCAAGACTAAGCATTGCTCAATACTCTGAAGGAGGCAAAGACCCAACTGTCCTCTCCTGTGAGGGAATGGGGGGGAAGCAAAAATTAATAAAGCATTTTGTAAAAAACCCAAGGAGAAACGATTCTGAACATTGTTGTGGTTTGTGCAGCTGTTTTTTTAAACCATTTTTCTGGTTTGCTATTTTCCAATACTCCATTCCACAGTGGAGCTGAACGCTGGAGGCAGATTCCGAGCAGTCCTGGCCAATGGCTGCTTGCTTCCCTCCCTGCCCAAGCGCTGGGCCGGCAGAGCAAGGAAGCTTCGTGCCAGAGTCCCGCCCTCTCCCAATTCGCTTATCCTGGGCTTCGAGCAGCTTGTCTGCCACAGGGTCCCAGGGACAGGAAAGGTGAGAAGTCCAAAACGGTGAGTTGAGCTTCTTTCACTCTGGCCAGCCAGGGCCAGGAGCTCAGGTCCCCTCACTCTGCAGAGGCGCCAGCTGTGACCCAAGTACTGATGGGGCTTTGCCGGCAACTCGGTCTGAGTGCTGGCTGCCTGGTTAGCCACAGCCGGCAGCCTGGCCTCTCCTTGCATCGTGGTAGTGACAAGAGCCACCCTCGCATCACCGGCGCGTCCTGGGCCTGCATCTCTGCAGCACCATCTTGACGGGAAGATGCTAACTACCAAGGAAGGAAGCCAGTCTGGCTATCACCAGCGGCTGCTGTTTGATGAAGGAGCTTAGGAGCTGAGGGGGGAAGCCTGGCGCGCCAAGTTCCACCTGAAATTAAGCAGAGAAGGAAGAGTTGAAGGTGTGAACGGACGTAGGAGAACGTGCCAGGCACCCGACAGGCACAAGGAGCCACCCAGGCTGTTGTGACGGGAAGAGCTCCTCCGACTGTCTGCGCTTCCAGAGTTTACAGGCCTCTGGGCTCTGCTGCTCAGATCTTGGCATGGGCTTCCCCTCCTGCTGATGAAGGTCACAGTGGGGAGCTGGGAGTGGAGAGGAAACAGACCGGGTCGTGCTCGCTCTGCTCTACTGAGGCTGCGGCTCCTCCCTTGTCATGATTCCTCTATCTCTGGAGGACGCTGGCGACAGAGAGGCGAAAGGCCGCTGCGCACTTCGGTGACTGAGCAACTCTGTCCCCCTCCTGCCTCAGTTCCCCACTGACCGCCCCCTTACTGTGACCCAAGAAGCCCGAGTCTCCAGCTCTTGGGACACAGGGCCTAGGCACTGCAGGGTGTCGAGCAGCTCAAGAGAAAACTCCCATGGGGTGCCGGGGCCAAACTATGGCATTCCGTGCCACCAGCCACACAGGGAGGATCACCTGGGCCAAGTAGATGACTCTGGTGATCTCCTTTCCTTCCATGGTGATGGGCTGTAGGACCCAGGCACTGGGCAGGATCTCCCCTCGGACCATCTCCCTGCTAGGTCTCGGCATGGATGTGTCATAAACAGACTGAGCTGCCATGACAGACAGGTGCCCCTGGGGACAGAGAGTGATGGCGGTCAGACAGGGACAGGCTGCAGTGCAGACAGCCTCTAAGCCGTCCTCACACCCGCCCAAACCTCCTTTGCCCAGAGGACCTGATGCCCACGATGACTGCCTCTCCCAGCACTCCAGCCCAAGGTCTGCCCACAGTGTCTTTACCACCAGCAAAACAGGCACCTCTTTGGCTTCCACGCAGACGCAGCAGAAATCTCGTGGCTGCTTCAGGGCACAAAGGGCAGTATTGCACACCAAGTATACTGGAGGGTCAGGAATGGGGAGAGTCAGGAGGTGTGTAGACGGAATTCCCAGCCCAGAAGCACCCCCGATATCCCACCATTCTGCAACCTGACAGGCAGACCTAGCCTGAGTGATCCGGAAGTCGTCTGAGTATCTGGCCTCCCAAGAGGGCTGCCTCCAACCCTGCTCCCTCTGTCCCCCGGCCATGGCCCACGGGAAGCCTTCCCTGGGCTCACCCAGGTTGATGCTGTTGGTCACTCGATGATGCAGCCTTGCTGTCTGGATGGGCTTGTGGTACAGCGGCCACAGGGTGGGGTCACTCACAGCTGCCCATACGTGAGACAGTGGCTGGGACACCACGCTTGCCCCCAGGAAGCCATGCCGAGTAGAAGAAAACATCTTGTAGTAAAGCTGGACCTCCTGCTCCTCACCCTGATAGCTGGGGAACACCGAGGGTGGGGAAGAGGAAGAAGAGGTAAAAACTGGGCTCCAGGCTCAGCGAGTCACAGCTCGGGGTGAGGGACTCAAGGAAGCCAGGGCAGAGAAGGGAAAGGAGAGAGGACAAGCAGGACAGACAGCCGGCCAGGACAAGACGCTGGGCAAAGGCACTTACTTCCAGCCAGCTGCTGCCTGGCGGCTGAAGAGGTTGTGCAGATCATCGGAGCAAGCAGCCATTACCTGGAGGCAGAGTGATCACACCCACATTAGCAGGCACAGTACAACCCAGACCCTTGGATTAGCCATTCACTCTGGCCAGCATGCACTGAATTCCCCTTCTGTCAACATGAGGAGCCACTAGCAGCCTTGTTGGCCCTCATGTGCCCTGCTCGTTCCCTCGCTTCCCCTCCTCCCCACCCAGCATGGGTCTGATAAAGGAACCATGGGGACAAGGGAAACAGTTCCTCACATCAGCAACAGAGAGGTCTACGATGTGCTTGGCCAAGTCCTGATAGGAGGAGGAGAAGCAGGTCCCCAGGCTGGAAAGGCTGGACAGAGAAGTGCAGCAGCTGCCCAGGGAGGTTCTGTGGCCTACAACGAATGGGCGAGGCCATGAGACAGCATGAGCATCAAGGCATTGGGGCGGCAACAGCCTCCTGAGGGACAGTAACTTGGGGCTGATAACCTCAGGCTAGTGACTCCCTAGGATCTAGCAGACCTCAGCCCCCGAAGTCCCCAAACCAGGCAGATAGCCATGTGCCCTTACCCCCCCTCCACTCACTGTAAGCTAAGCTCTTCCAGGTGGACCCGGCCAGACTCAGGTGACTGTTCCTCACTGTGGAACTGCCCCGAACATCCCCTATCCAGGAGTCACTGGAATCAGGCAAGTTTATGTCCCCCTGCAGAAAAGAAGATGCTCAGGATCAGATCAAAGGCAGATAAAGAAAACCAGAGCACCAGAAAGCCCGTGCAGAATTATCTCCTCTGCCTCTGAACTGTGCCAACAGTTCCCAACATAAAGCCTCAATCAAAAAGATCTTCCCCACCGGGATTACAGAAGGCTGGATGCCCCCAAGAAGTCAAGAGCAACAGAAACCAGTCCCTGGACAATCCCTCCTTATGCTTCAAGCCACAGGCTCAAAGATGGCTTGTAGGAGAGCTCCCAAAAGGGATCAGAACAAACGGAGCCTCAGAAGTCCCAGCACAGAGCATCAGTGGGTATGGGCTGCGGGGGGCGGGGGGAGGACCTCTCTACCACTGTGGCAAGAGGAATGAGGCCATGGGTAGAGCTGGGATTGGTGGGATAGGAAACAAAGCCCAAGTGGAAAGCGGGGGTGGGGAGCAATGGGCTATGAGAAGCTGGACCCTTGGGCCTGACCTCCCAGAACCTCTACACCCGCCCCACCTCGCCATGCCCCATACAGCAGCTAAGCCAAAGGTCCTAATTTGGAACCAGATGGGGATGATCTTCTGGATCCGCAATATGTTTCTCCCACCTTTACCTCAGCCAGCAACTCAAGGACACGACCTTGACTCCTGCTGAACCTAACAGGCACCATCCATCCCACCTCTATCATCAGTTTTTAACCTACTGCTACTCTAAAGACAAGAAGAGGTGAACACAGTTCTACCTCCATCCTTGCCTTCATTCCTCCTGCTGCAACATTACAAGTGGTCTCTTCTACTTTAGGCAGGTCCCTCTGTCTCAGACTGAGGTCTTGTGCCCTCTTCTTGGGAACTTTCCACTGCTAATCATCTCCTTCACCTGTTGCCTCTGCCTCACCCTCTTCACGGGATGCTTCCTATGAGCCCTGAAGCATGCAAAAACATCTCCCACCTTTAAAAACCTTCCTCAAAGGGGTCTTTGCTCTCCCACCCACAGATATGCTTCTTGAAACAACTGTCACCATTTGCCATCTCCCACCTTTTACTCCCTTCTGAACCCACTTGAACCTAACATCCCCCTCACCACTTCACCAAAGAGCAATCACCCAGGTCTCTGTGATGTCCATGTGGCTGGATCTGATCAGCGACAGCCAGTCCCCATCTTACTGAACCTCTCAGAGAACTTCCACTCAGCCAGCCTCTCCCTTCCACTTGAGATACTCAATTCCTGAGTTCCCAGTCTCCTCGCTTCCTATCTCTGTGGTGCTCCTTCCCGATTTCATGTGTTGGCTCATCCTCCTCAAACAAAAACTGATATTCTGGGATTCTTTCAAGACTCAGGCCTAGGCCCTCTTTTCTCCCTCAATAATATACTCCTAGGGGATTCCATCTGCTCCCACTGCTACACTGATGATTTCCAAAATTAAATATCCATGGATTGATCAAAAAATACTGCTGAGACAACTGGCTGCCATGTGAAAAAATGTTACATCAGAGACCCATTTCATACATCATGCCAATATAAATTCTTCATAATTTGTGGCTCAAAATATATGGAGTGGAGGAAAACTTACTATTACTACAAGAAAATATAAATTTTAAAAAATTATCTCATAGTGGGGCTATGGCCTTCCTAAACAGGGCACAAATTCCAGGAGCCATGAAACTAAAGACTAATGAACACTAGGCAACACAAAATTAACATTTTCCAGGTAGTAATAAATATCATAAACAAAATAAAAACACACACACAACTAGGAAAAAAAAACACTGGTATCTCAAATGACACAAAAGGGTAATTTTCTTGAGGGGCGGAGCAAGATGGCGGAGGAGTAGGAGACCTGGATTTCGTCTGGTCTCAGGAATTCAGCTGAATAGGGATCAAACCATTCTGAACACCTATGAACTCAACAGGAGATCGAAGAGAGGAATAGCAACAACTCTCTGAACAGAAAAAGACCACTTTCTGGAAGGTAGGACGTGCGGAGAAGTGAATCCAAGGCGACATTCGGGAGGATAGTCGGCGGGGGAGGGGGTCTCCGTCGGCCGCTTCTGGCAAGTGATAGAGCCGCGGAGCACAAAATCGGAACTTTTAGAAGTCGGCTCCGCTGAGGGACGTCGCTCCAGTGGCTAAGCAGGGGTGGAACCCTCCCGGGACAGTGTGGTCTCAGGACCCTCGGGGTCACAGAAAAACCGGGGGTGCCTGAATGCAGCAGAGCTCCCAGGTATCGGAGCGGGGAAGCCGGCTGCAGAGACGGAGCTGAGGCACGGGCTCTCAGCTCGGGGTGGCCATAAACTGTGATCCGCGGCCCAGTCGGGCTACTGCTCCTCCAGCAGGGACCCATCAAGCGGCAGAGCGGGGGAGACTCCCCTTCCTCCCCCGGGAGGAGCGGTGCAGGAGCACACCTCAGGGATCTGCTGGGTTTGGAGACTCCACACGGGGTTGGGTGCCAGAGATAGAAACGCTCAGTCACAGGCCGGGTGAGCACGGAGTGCGGCCGGAGACCAGGGAGACGGGAGTGACTGCTTTTCTCTGGGGGCGCACTGAGGAGTGGGGCCCCGAGTTCTCAGCTCCTCCGGGTGGAAATTGGGAGGCCACCATTTTCACCCTGGTCCTCCAAAGCTGTACCGAGAGCTTGCAGGGAACAAAAGCTCCTGAGAGCAAACCCGAGCAGCTTCCTTAGGCCGGACGACAAGGGCAGGGCAATTCCGCCTCCAGCAAAAACATTTGGGAACCACGGCAACAGGCCCCTCCCCCAGAAGATCTGCACGAACAGCCAGCAAGCCAAGACCAAGTTTACCAATCAAGCAGAATGGGAGAACTCCAGCACTAGGGGAATACTGCACATAGAATTCATGGCTTTTTTTTACCATGATTCATTACTTTTTCAAAGTTAATTTTTTT